CCCCAAAACCCCAAAACCCCAAAACCCCAAAACCCCTCCAGGCAAAATTTAAATTGAATTTTTAAAATGGAGAAAGTTTTACAAAAGGCAGATAAATTATATTCTCAAGGCCAGTTTACCACCAGCCTCGATCTATACCGAAAAGTGATTCAAAAGCGGTTCCAATGCTATAACAAAGAAATTCTAGAGGTTAAGGTATCAGACAAAGAGCATTCTAGACAAGTACGACTAATTATTACCTAAACATTGCATATTTACCTTCTTTAGGCCACTCAGGAGATGGAGGAGAACATCCCAACTCTCAATAACCTAATAACTCCAAATGCGTTTACTGCAGGTTTGAAGACTTCTGCCTCGCAATTTACTCAGAATAATGTAAATATACATCATAATCAATTTAGACGACCAAGAACCAGAAAAGAATCCGAAAATAGAAGATCTAGAGTGACTAAGCACAGCCAAAATGTCATTCTTGAGGAAATCAAGCAAGAAGATGCTGCACTTCTTAAAAGAGTTATCAAAGATTTCAACAAATACGCCCTCGAATGTGTCAATACTTCTAAGAATGAAGAAAGTCATGCGATATTCTCAAGACTTTTGAAGATGTGTATGGCGTATTGAGAGTCCTTCCCGAAACTTACATGCTTGACTTATAACAACCTCAGTTGATTATTCAAGAAGAGCATTCCTAAGAAAGCACTTAGGTATTTGTTAAAAGCACTAGAATTTGCAAAGAAGGATGCCAAGGAAGGCAAAGAATCGGTAGATTTTATGTTTAAGTTATAGGAATACCTCCCGCTTACCTACATCAACCTGAGCGCAGTCTATTCTGAGAGCAAGCAGTAAGCCATAGCTGTCAAACCCATAGGCACAAAAAGAGTCTAACTTGCTCACAGAAAGCAGTAGATGTTCTTTCAACAATCTGTGGAGACTGGGAGGACGAGAGTATAGAGGTAGATCACCTTCTTGACAAAACTAAGGAATATTTCTCTCTCCTCGCAATAGCATACTACAATGTAGGGTGTCAATACGAGTTCATGAAGCAGTACCTTGATAGTAGACTTGTCTTTCTCAAATCAATCAAGGTTCTTAAGAAATATTTTGGGGAAACCCATCCTTTGATCGAAGAAAATCGGAAATCCCTTAAAAGGATTGAGAAAATAATACAAAATGACAAACCATCAGATTCGAAGTAGCTAGCATTCTCAATTTCTAGGACTTTTACCAACCTGGATTGCAGCATTCTCCAGAACAGAATCACTAGACTGATGGAAGATCGAAAGAGCAGTAGGAAATCCATAAATCTCGCTTTCGGAGTCAATAAAAGATATTTCAAAAATGATCGAAAACTTAAAGGTAATTCCCAGTTCAACCATATAGGCTCAAGAAGGTATTGAACAAAGAGTATTAGAGGTAAATCCTCTGACAGAAATAGAGGTATGAGGAACCACAGCCTTAATCAAGAGATTACTAACGAGATGGTCCAGGAAGCTGACCTTGGATCTTCAATTAAGCTAGACCAGCAATTCGATATCCACATGATGGATGATGAATACAAGCTGAGTAAGAAAGATAAGTCTTAGTAATTTTAGGCGAAATTAGAGAGGGAAGAGCTATGAAGAGTTCATTATCAAAAAGATTCTCAGCTTCTTTTAACCGTCCAAACACTTATTCAAACAAAGGTAACGTCAAGAAGAACAATAAGAGACCCAAGAGTGCAAAAACTGCTGTTGGAAGTAATCTCTTTTGTTACTTTTAGATACATCTAGAATGAAAATAATCAAAAAGCTTCAAAACGCTTATGGAGACCATTCACAAAGCAAGGAAAATGACCTATCAATCTTTAATTCAACCATTCGTGATAGCCAATTCAGAGACAAGATCATGGATATTAGTACAAGCATTAAATCAATATATGGTCAAAATAACAGCAAATACAGGGTAAAAAGTCTTTAATTCCTAGGAACCAGGAAAATCCTCCTTAGCAGCTTCAAAAATAATCGATGAGCCAGACTTGATGAAGAACTCTCTAGCTTCTAGCAGTGATGTAAATAAGTTGCTCTCTAACTGTTCCAAAATATACAACTCGACTTCTAGAAGAGAGAGGCCTTCGACTGCAAGCTTCAGTAAGAAGTCAGTCATGAAAAAGGAAATATTACAAGGAGAATATCAGAATATTAAAACCCATATTATGCACGGTACTAAGCCGGTGTACACATCTCTGAACAAAACTTCCTCAAATTTCTTCAAAAAGTGATCATTCAAGGCATATCAGCCCAGACAGTCCAAAGTATGTGGGGCAAAGAAAGTCTTGAAAAGGTCTGCACGAAGAAAACAAATGAAGAATAACAGTGTGAGAGTGATTTCTCAAGCCCAACGTGAGAAGTCCAACCAGTCCTCGATGAGCTTCACCAACGTTATCATCATTTAACCGCTCTTCAAGAATTTTCAGCTGCAATCGAGTCTATTGGGGTTTTGGGGTTTTGGGGTTTTGGGGTTTTGGGG